CACTCAGTAAATTTTTTCACATGACTTGAAACCCATTTCTTAAATTTTGAGATGTGTTTCACATGTGGGCCAGGATGGGATCCCACTTAAGTATACTGCCTGGGAGGTGGGATCCCTGTTAGGATGACCTTAAGTCCCAGATGGGATCCCTCTTGTCCTTCCTTGAATCCTGGGTGGGGGGCAGGATCCCAGGCAGGATGACCATGAGTCCCAGGTGGGACAGATGGGACCCCACTTATCCCACCTTCAATCCCGGGAGGGAGGCAGGGTCCCAGGCGGGATAACCGTGAGTCCCAGGTGGGACAGATGGGATCCCGCTTATCCCACCTTCAATCCCAGGTGGGAGGCAGGATCCCAGGCGGGATAACCATGAGTCCCAGGTGGGACAGATGGGATCCTGCTTATCCCACCTTCAATCCCAGGTGGGAGGCAGGATCCCAAGTGGGATAACCATGAGTCCCAGGTGGGACAGATGGGATCCAATCTATCCTGTCTTCAATACCGGGTGGGAGGAGGGATCCCATCTGGCAGGACAATCATGAGTCCCAGGTGGGACAGATGGGATCCCGCTCATCCTGCCTTCAATCCTGCATGGGAGGCGGGATCCCAGGTGGCATAATCATGAGTCCCAGGTGACACAGATGGGATCCCGCTTATTCCACCCTGAATCCTGGGTGGGAGGCAGGATTCCAGCCAGGATTATCTGTTAGTCCCACGCAGGAAAGGCAGGATCCCGCTTATATTGGTTCGATCCCACCATTCCCACCTGGTATCCCAGGTGGGATTGGCGGGATCCTAACTAAATCCCGGCTGCCTTTTTAGCTGGGAGTGATTACATAGACAATGAGGTTTGGAAGGCATACAAGATCATAAAAGATTTTGCCCAAGAGTGATCATGTTGTACACCTGATTTACCAAGCACAATTTAAGTTGCAGGCAAAGGATTCAAGGACAAAAAAAGATACCCATACCAAATCTGCATAATTTTCAATCTGACATACAGGTATGTATGAGAAAAGGCATCTACAAAATTAACTTAATTATCTCTCTGCATTATACATTGACCCACTTAAGTCCAAAAATCTGATTTTTGATTCTCCTCTCTCAGCAGCTACACATTTCCATGCATGTAAATTAGTATCAAGAATTTGGTGTTAGATCAAGATAACAACTTCTATCTGATAAGTCCCCATTAATTCTCATTACACTGTTTGCTGAATAATGTATGGATATCATATGGAGAAGTTACGTGTTACAACTGGGAGTTAAAGGGTTGACCAAACAATGAGGTGTGAAACTATAGGCATACGATTTCAGGGCTTGACACCAACTTTTCAACTTACTAGCCAAGTGGCTAGTGACAACTTAAATGTTACAACAAATTCAGTTTGTTTACTAGCCAAACTGGCCAGTGGAAATAAAAACCACTAACCAAAACTGAATTTCTACTAATCTGTGACTGAATGCTTAGCTACAGTTTGTGTCAAGCCCTGAATTTTTTCATCATCCAGCAAACACACTTAAAAGCCAAATCTTACAAGGTATCTCATGAATTTCAAGATGGTTTCCACTATTAAAAATATAGCCAAGTTAAATATTTAAGGCCTGTTAACCCTTTAACACCTATGAGTGACCGCCTTCTAAGTTCTCTTGACAGTATCAATCTTGAATCAAATGCATAGGCCATGAGAATAAAGCAAATAATCACCAATTCAAGATGCTCCTGATTGTTAAACAAATTCTCCTCATCGGTCTCATAGAAAATGTAGAGAGAAGAGTATAGAGAATATGCATGCTGATGATAGGGTGTGGAGGGTTGATTCATCTCAGCCTATTGCCTTGCAATGCAACAGTCATCTTTGTTATAAGGGAAAGTTTCCTTTGGCAATTAAGTACACGTAACAAAGAATTGTAGGCCAACACAAACATTGCAGCTGTAAAAGATAAGTTTCTTGAACGATGATGTTATTAAGTGGATGACATTAAGGCATACTCAGAGAAAAAGAACTCCACAGTGCTCCTAATTTTCTTTTTCCAATCAGTGCACTCTTCTTTCTGAGACATATTATGTCACATTTTCTTATTAAACTCTGCCAAGCTAACTTAATAGAGGGCCAAGAACAAACTTAAAGACCAAATTCACAGTGAAAATGCACAAAAGGCTAGCTGTGATAAAATCCCAGAAGCAAACTTTTGAGTCAGCCTTGGTGTAAAAACCTGACGAGGTTTTCTTTGATTCATGAGGTATTGTTTTGCTGTACGCTATAGTTTAAAATGTTTTGCTGTCTTTGTTTTATGTCACTCGTGAGCTTCACAGGTTTTACACCGAGGATGAGCCAAACTTTTCATATGCTGACATATTCAAAGCTTTTCTGCAGTGGATGACACAGTAGGCAAAATTAGGTATTAAAAACAGTTCTTGGAGGCTTTTGTATCCTCATTTTTTTCCCCTAGTAGTTGCCATTTTTTGGAGGCCTATTTTTATTTCTAACCAAGAGCCTGCCACAAGTAATTTTGAGTTAACCAGCTTCAAATGTAATGTTTGTATGGTAAAAGTTGTCAAAACAAATTAAAGAACCTAAATTAGTGAGAAATTTGCCTTTGAAATTAACCCTTTCACTGGACCAAGATCTCATCAGTTACTCTCCCAATACTATCTGCTGTACAATTCTCATGAGGTTGGTATGGATATTGGGTATTGGATTGACTAATAATCCCTTAGTGATGATATATTTCTTTACTCTCCTCACTTGTGTGCTTGATATTGTAATGATGTTGTAAGGAGAAATTCTGTTTTAGCCAAAGTTAAAGGTTTAGAACTATGGTCAACCTTGTTTGAATATGAACCTCAATCACACACAATCTGATTGATGATTTCTATTGTGTTCCACAAGGTGTTACAAGTGGCTAGCTCGACCTTTTCAGAATGCTTTTATTTTCTCACATCTGAAAGATTAATGTTTAAGTAAGCTATTTAGAATATTTGACAATTGGTAAACGTGGGTTTTTTTAAATACCTGTTGTAGAAGTTTTATTTCCAAGGATGAATCTCATGGCAAAATAGTGATACAGTCCCAATTGAATGGTGTTTGTGGTTTACATGGATTTCCTTCAGATGTTACATTTTTGTCACATCCATTTCATAATAGGTAACCATTATTTTTTTGGTAATGAAATATGGATACCTTTTTTACCATGGATGGAACTCGGAAAAGAGTTCTACAGTACCTGCACCTTTTAAATTTTCCAACCAATGGAAATACAAATATGTTATCATTAGCATTATGATTTTCTTTAAGTTGGGGAAAGCCTAAAACATTCACAGCAACCTCTACTTTTGTGTTGTTTTTCCATCTCTCGCTAATGCACAGTATGAGTGCCAAAGATATATCAACACCCTTTGATAGGTGTTGTTACTATATGGATAGTGCATATGTTTATAGTCTCATGTTCTACATGTAATTGCATGGTTTTGCGGGAATAATAGCAAGACGATTATGGTGATTTTCACCATTTATAACACACTATGTATTCTCATTAAAAGGTTGCTTTAGAATCATTGTACAGATATCATAAGGAAGTTGCATGTTGATCATTCCTTGGAGTAAAAGTATTAATAGATCAATAATCACACTCACCACATAGGTGTTGAGTAGCTTCTTTGGATCAATTTTTAAATTCTTGGAATGAATTTGTCTAAGTTTAATCATAGTTAGTAAAGGTTGGTTAATTGGTTATTCACTTTTATCAACCAAGTTAATCATTATGCATATTAGCCACTGTAAAAGGTTTCTAAAGCTGACATTTTGACCATTAGCCTTGCATTGGAGCAAATAAAATTGTGTTTGAGTTACAAATGTATAAAAAATTTATTTACAAATAGAAAGGCTTGAGTCCAAACTCTGTAGAAAATATATATTAACTTCATACATTAAATTCAACATTAGGCTTCAGTTAACACTCAGAAACTTCTTAAATTTCCAAATAAAGGAATAACAACTTGGTATGAACAAAAATAAAAAACACCTACATAAACAACACTTCTTAAAACAAAATAACAAAAAGATGAGTGAGAAAAATGTCTAAGTTAGTTTTCTACATCAAGGTTATAAGTTCTCTGCATCCAGTGGGCAATTGAGTATAAAAGAAAATAATGCAAAGGAAGAGAGGAAGAGGAAAATTGTATCTTTAAATTACAAAACTGAGGTTTCTACATTATGTGTGATTACTCGTCCTTTATAAGATGTACAGCATTGCATTTAAATGAGTGAAACCAGAAAATCATTGATTGTCAACTCTCCGCACACAAAAAGCTGGGCTGCAATGGAAAGAACCCTTTGACACCAAAAGATAAATAGACTAAGGGAATAATTCTTACCGCAATGCCTTCTTCAAGATCAGCTAGGAGAAATCATGATTCGAGTGATAACATTTGTGACATGTATAGCCATGACATGGATTTTTCCAGATTATTCAAAACCATGGAGTTCACAAATGAACACCAACAGAGATGCAATTTCAACCCGCATAAAAAGATAAAACCAGAGTTCCTGGAGAACATTTCCTTTTCGAGAAAGCAAATGATTCTGACACTCCTTGGAACATGGTAACATTTCACTTTCGTTTTCAATTGCATTAAAGAAATTGGATTCCTTTTTATCAGGAAACTTCCGCCTTCACAAACTTTCCCTGTGTTATGGCTGTACTAAAGCACACAACAACTGCTAGAAAATGATAAAGCCGCTCTGATTGCAGAATAGATCGCAAATGATTCAAGCCTAAGCGACCCGGCCTTTACAAATTGTTTATCAATGCTGAGAGTGTTTACGTGCAGAAATTCCTAAATAAATGGGGCTTATTTAAGGACAAAACACTAACCCCTGGTCAACTAACCCCCTACTGACCCCCCTTACTGACCCCCTTTTAAATTCACTGGAAATCATGAATTGAAGCAAATGACAAACTAACGATACAAAATTACGATATAATAATACACTCACCTCTTAAATTCCAAAATTGATAAACAAGCAGTACTACGTACCAGACAAACCTGTCAACCCGTGCGAGCGGTGAATGGACCGCGGTACCTGAAACTGACAACTTTTGGACCTTAACTCTGGAACTTTTGGACTTTTGGACCTTTCCATCCTCGGAGACCCAGGGGCTGTGAGTCGATTTCAAGTTAAGGGCAGAGGAGGGGCTCTTCTGCCTTAACTTGAAATCGACTCACAGCCCCTGGGTCTCCGAGGATGGGACCTTTCCGGTTTTCCGATAGAGGTTTCAGTTCTTTTAGTTTATTCCTCTTTTTGGCGGAACGCAGTTCCCATTCGCCACTCGTTTATGAGCATTGGAGAACTAACAATTGTGGTAAAACGAGTTTGGGCTATGGCAGACTTGTGGTATTAAGCAGATCGACCATCTTCCACCATTTTGGAATTTAAGAGGTGAGTGTATTATTATATCTTAATTTTGTATCGTTAGGTTGTTATCGTTAGCTTGAACAATGACGCATTTTTACCACGAGGGTTCAGAGATGGCCTTACACAAAGAAATATGTTGCGATGTGTCAAAGAAACCGCATTCTTAATACTTCAATGGCTTGAGACAAACTTTGAGAACGTGGGAGAATTATATAACTAATCGAATATTAGGATCTTGTGTCATTTTTTCCACTCTATTTAGAACACCTACCCACCACAAAACGAGAAGCGAATCACTTTAAGAATCTTTCTCCTTCTGTGCTTTCAGATAAATATTAAAGTTTTCTGCCAGCTTCTCGCGTACACAGCGATCTTTAAGTACGAACGAATAAAGCGTCTCGTTTTCCTGTTCAACGATCCGTCTAGAGGCGATCGAAACAGTTATTGCTGTGTCTGCACAAACAAGACCACAGAAGTTTCGGCTCAACTGAACACCTCTAATGGTTTTTTGTGGAAAGTAATCCACCAAATTCCTCCAGTTTTCGAAACCCAATTGTAACCAAGAGCTATCTTAGCAAGTGTGGAAATACCTATCTGTTCATCGTACTTAAGTTGATGACTTTGATCACACGTATGAGTACAGCCATAATAATGTCGACGGAACCTTCGGAATGATTAAGTGTTAATTACACTCACCTATGTTATCCTCATCGTCATTTAGGGCCAATCGGTTATTGCCTCCATGTAGTCGGCTAATCGAGACGCTGGGACAAAAGGAAAGCTGAGGAGGAAAGCACGGACTTCAAAAACACCTTCCTGAAATGCACAGCAATGCAACTTGAGCTAGATCTAGTCACCTATTCTTGCTTTTCACGTGACGTCACAGATTATGCAAATTAGTTGACCCGCCATGTTGGTGTCCTTAGAAGCGTGTTGTCACTTGTAAATTAGAAGGAAATATTATGCCATTTCTAGGCTCCTTAATTTGCTGATAATCTTGCGACCTCTCAATGGATTCTGAACTCGAAGACGACTCGGAAAAACTCAGCAAAGCTATCCCAGTGCTTTCAGATTACGTGAAAGGGCTGGAAACTCGAGTTAAAGAGCGATATTTAGCAAAAATATCTGTTATCGGAGTCGACCCGGCCAGCATCCCGAAAGAGCAGTTTAACAGGGAAT